GTACAAATATCAACACATTTTAAAATTCTGAAACGGAATGGGTAGTCAGTAGAGGACTTACTCAGCTGGTACTTACAAATACTTGATCCTATGCAAGAAAAAGAATGGCGTTTTAGCTGATGGCTGATAAAGATGCAAATGAGAAAGATATGAATGAGAATTGAAACCTCGCTTGTAGAAACTAATCCATTGAACTGTTTTGTTTCGGGGAGATCTGCTTCATTCTCTTTCGTGTTTAGGTGTTCAGCACCCAGTTCTCTCAGATCCAGCGGTTTAAAATCATACTGGTTAACTTCAGGCTTCTTTACACCAAGTTGAGTTCCAGGTTTAACGTTCGTATCAAACTTTAAAGAGTCAATCATGAATACAACAAAGAGAAAAACAAACTGACTTCCATGGGAGAAGATCCACTTTTTCTGTCAACAAGATGCTCTTCTTCAGTCTTCCGAGCTGCATATGTCCTTCGATTTGGTCTATATAACGCAATGAAAGAAACACATGTTTTGAAACTTACATTCTCCCTAAGTAAATGCAGTCGCTGTCTTCGGAGTCAACTTCCATGTTTTCCTCTGATCTGCATCATCTCATTTTCCATAAAAACAAATACTTCAACTACTTACATGTAATCATCACTTTCGACAGAATCAACAGAATAACGATTGGTACTTTTCATATGACCCAAACTTCCCCTGAAAGAAGGTGAATAAGTGATACCCACATACATTCGACACACCTGCCGTCTCTGTTTTCGTTTATACTTGGGCTTACTTCACCAGGGCAAAAAACAATCTCTTCTTTCCGATCAATGGGATCGACTTCATTTTCGGATCTGGAGTTTCCTTTAAAAGGAGCCAACTGATTAAAACAAACTCTGTATCTTTTGAGTAGTTGGCATTGCCGTTGAAATCCACTACTGTGGTACTGCTAAATCTACAAAACTTTTCTATGCGAGAAGTTGACTTTAGATGTAACTTCGAATCTTCATTCCTATCATAACTCAATCGATCGATGTCTCCGATGTTGAAGCCAGACATGGGTGCCTCGGATTGTTCAACATTAATGCTGGTGATTAGCCGATTCTCAGTCTGAGACCTGAAAAACGTAAGATGAATAATCTGCTCATACAATTAGCATACTGGACTTCTTCCTCGTTTTCAACAGTCAAATCCACTCTGAAAAATGTTAATTGAATACGCAACGTATTTTTTCTTTCTAACAAATCAGTTGGGAGGAATAATGGTTGGGAATGCAAAACCTACAATTCTTCTCTCACAGGTAACAACTCCGGATTTTCAAATTCATCATCTGATTCTTCGCAAAAGAGATTCTCGCGTTTGTTATAAGTATGATTGAGAAGAGTGCGATGTTCACCTAATAACTCAAGGCTTTTGTTTCTAGAAATTGATTTAAGTTGGTTTTCATCAAAGAGTATATACTCACAGAATGGCATTTCCTGCTTCTCCTAG